GCAGCTACCTGATAAGGGGAGAAGACCAGCAGCTGGGGAGACAAATGAGTCTGCTAATACACAGGGCTGAAAAACCCCTGGGCAGCCAGGAGGAAGGAAGGAAGTGAAAGCCTGAACTTCCTGCATGCTTTGCAGCTGGTTTAGGAGGCAACAACTCTTTTGGACCTTAGTTTCATGCCATAAACTCAAAGCTGCTCAGAAACCAATGGTCTTGCAGACCCTCTGTTAGAAGACTTCTAACAGCTTCATGTGATAAATGAGGAAGATTCTGCCACTGGCAGCTGGTAGCATAAAACCCAGGATCCTGAACAGCCCCAGGGGCTGCAGTTTGTGCTAGGCTGGGTACATGCAGTCACTCGGTGCTTAGGCAGGGGAGGTGTGGGCCAGGGACTGGAAAAAGAAACTGACCTCATGCAAACACTCTTGGACACAGGATAGCAAGAGAAATTCTGAGAGGGATCACACTTGATGGTTTCACTATGCAGTCTCTCATAACACATCTGCCTTAAACTACTTAAAATAATGTGGTAGCCTTGATTTCCTCAGCTTTTGGTTTCCATAATGTAACAGGAGCTGGGAAATGACATTTTTGGCACATTGTCAGTATGATTCTTAACCTGAGAATTTTCCTGTACAGATGTTTTTTTCGTGCTCTAAAGCAAAGCCAAATAAGCAGTATGGGATGTTCTGAAAGAAATGCCTCAGTAGACAGATTTGGGGTTTCCCAGCCAGCTCTACCTTAGATGAGAGCGGCAGGAACTTCCCAGCCCTGGAAGGGTCTTCTTGTCATGGCCTGTTCCCTGTAGACATGTTTGAGATGGAGGATGGGGGCCCCCACCTGCCTCTCTGAGCTGCCTGTATCAAACAGCAAACATAGCCAAACTGTGCTGCAGTCTGTCTGACTTCTTGCTCAGGGCTAAACACCTTTTGCCAAGCTGCTTTACTGCAGTCTCAAGTCTTTGCTCCCCAGAACAGCAGCTCAGAGTTCACTTAACCAAGGTAAAATTTTTCACTTTGAATTTTCCTCTGGGGTAGTTCACTTTTATTTCCAAATTTTTCTGTTCCTCATTTATTGCAATTTCTTTGGAATTAAATGAATGGGTAATTTCCTCCCAATTTCCCCAGCCCTTTTGGGCACAGACTGTGGGTCTATGGAGATGGCTCCAGGCTTATTGTACTGTGTACACTATTGGTCTGAATAAGGTACCATCTGTACTCTTCCATTTTTCAACAGGGATGCATAATCTTCTATTACTTATTTCCCACCGCTTGCCAACATCAGCAGGACTGGAAAAGGGCACACAAGAAGCAAGGTACCCTGCTTCTGTCATCCCGCCTCCAGCTGCACTCTGGGATCTGTGACTCCTCTGGACAGTGCACAATCAGAAGTCTGTAGCCAGGCTTTCATGGCAGGATTCACATAAAAGCTGGATTCTCACTGCTAGTTTTTAAACAAGATATGTTATGGAAAATATGGCCATACCTTCTTCCAAGACTGGCTCTCAGCAGGGAGCTGGGCAGTTAAACAGGCTCCCTGCAGCACAATCACCCTGTCACTACCAGTTTTCTGATGGGTAGCACTCACCCCCTGACAGCCAGCTCAGGGCTTCCTTTCAGAAGTTATAGCTCTGTCAACTGTTACCAGCTTAATAAAAAACATCGAGGCCTCAGTTCTCAGGTACTGTCTGGCTGTTTTCTTCCAGTCTTTCTCTCACCTTGCCACTTGTGTGCACCTCCAGGGATCATTCATACAGCATGTGTCTCTCTGATTAATGTTAATACCTCTCAGTGTGAAAACTAAGTACTAAAAAAGAGGTTGTGACTCAGGTGTGCAGTAACATTTTACATCCTCTGCTGATCACTTAGTGTCAAACCTGCTCTTAAATTTTCCATTGCCAACTGTGCAGGACAAGTGCAACATTATCTATTTCCCTAACTCCTTTTCCAACGCTAGACAGAACCAACCCTGCACTCCGCATAAATCTGTGGTGCTTGCCTCTCCCAACACAATTTAATTCTTTTACCTGAATCCTGATTTAATGCCTCCTCTGTTCCCTGTATTTGTCCAGTTTCTTAATGTGCTGATCTGGCATAGGGCTTGTTTACTATACCCAATTGGAATATTTTGCATGCTTACACAAAGATAAATAAAGATCGATATCTTCATTGATTTTCCCTGGGTCACCAGGTAAATTAGTATGAAAAAAAAATGGTGAATGGTACTTCATCTGCTTAAGGCAGCAGTACAATTAAAATAATAAAACACTGCTGCAATAGCACTCCAGTAGGAACTCAAATCCACCAGAAATTCTGTTTTTGTTTCACATATTACTTGTAAAAGCCTTCATCCAAATGCTGAAGAGAAGCTTGGATGAAGACAAAACAGAGTTGCTAACTACACTAAGTAAACCTGGATGGGATACTCCTTTTTAATCTGCATCTCTAAGATAACAAAATTTGGAAACAACCCCTATTACCTGCCATGAAGGACAAGGATGTTGGAGGTAATGCAGGTATCATTTTTTGTAATTAAATTCTCTCACATGGCTGTCCCAAGACTCATTATAATCACTGCCTCCTTGTAACACACTTGCACAGAACTGCTGGTGCAGGAGGAAGTTCCTGACACAGCAGACATGGCTCAAGCTCAGAGTGCCTGCAATTCCACTAATACACTCAGTAAGCCTCCAGTTTGGGAGGGGAAGGTGTAGGGGGTACAAAAACACTGGTTGCTGACTTCAGATGCAATACACACAGCTCAGGCCATTTCTTAAGGACCTGTTTTGGACACTGCTGCCCACGTGCTTGACTAACACGTTCTTGAAGTCACTAATTTTTGTATGCAAGTATGATAGTGGTTACTTCTCTCTCTTTCCTGCCCAGGAAGATACAAAAACTAACAGAGGCAAGTAAATAATATATAGCTACTCTGTTATCTTCCACTATAAAGCTCCACAATCAGAAATTTAACTAGTTACCATTTTGCTTTTCAAAAGTATACAAGATCTGGACTTGTGAAAGTCTTGCTACCTTCAAGAAAGAAGATGACCATCAGATTTTGTACAAAGAATCCCTTTTTGTCCAAGACAAGCATGTTTATGTTATTAGAGGGCACAATTAAAGAGAAAGTCTTAGTAACTTCTAATACATTTTTTAAATTGAATAAACCTACCTGAAGATAATGTTGTAATGTCGCCCATCACTGGGAAAGATGTACAGAGCCACTTATCTCTTCAGTGTGCCAACCTCTAGCTTATTCTGCCTGTAGCTTTATCTACACACCTTGTATCAATGCCTGTATCATTTTCCAAGGGAAATAGTAGCACGCAGACAACATAAAAGCTACACTTTCAAATTATAAGGGCCAATTCCAGCTGTTCACTTGCTTTAGAGACGATGTTATGATCTGTTTGAAGTCTTCTCATCAAACATTTGAGCAAATATTCATAGTGCTTGTCACCTACCAAAGACCAGTAATCTCTTCTTGTCTCACCCCTCAATATTTTATTTCCACACACTGCACTCTATTTCAACACTTAGAGCTTCTGTTCCTAGTCTGAGCGGTAGAGAAAATAAGGACCCAAATATGTCCAACTGCATTTTAAAAGCACTGACTGATAAGCCTATTGATGAGCTGGATGAAACCAGAAAGGTTTTAGAAAGGACCAAAACAAATCAGTTCCATGAAGTACTATCTGAACCAAGAAACAAGAGTTAAGCATCCATACGCAAAGGCTTTTCCCTTTACTACAGGTGTGTCAAAAAAAGCAGAGCCCAGTGCTTACTCAGGAAGCTCTATCACTGATAGTTGCAAAGATGAAAGCTGTAACAGTTACCCAAAATCTAGAAAGAGTAGAACTTTAGTTCAGATACACTTACTGACCAGTCTCAGAGCCAGGTATTGAAAAGAAAAGCAGGAAAACAATAACAACTGTAACTATCTATGTGGAAAACAAGAACTAGTACTTAAATGCAACAGCAAGGAACAGTAAAACAAAAACAAAAAACCCCACACCCAACCTTGCTAATGATTCTTGTTTTTGGAAGAGGAAATCAAAAGCATTTCTTCCAGAAATAGATTAAATAATTTTGCATTCAGGATTTTCTTAACAATCATTCTCCATTTCAAAGAAATGAGGCAGTAAAAGGCTCACCTAGCATTTAGGGGCTACTTTACATGAGAGCATGCACCTCAGCTTGAGAAGAAACGGGCCTCAGGTTAAAAACACTGCATAAAGCAGTGTTGCTGCAGCTTGGCAAGTATTCTTCATGGCACAATGTAAACTTCCTACCATTCCTGAATAACTGCAATACTTGGAGAAGATTATTTCAAGTAATATTAAAGCAGTAATTCATCAGTTTGCTGTTTCCGTTAAACAAATCTCAGAATTGAGCACCAGGCAAAGAGTCAGGTATTCTGGTAGATGCCAGCAGTGTGGAAAGTCATCTCAAGAATTCTTCTGTTCATACTAGTCATCACAGCAGAAGCAAAGAAGTAGTAAGCATTAGTAAAATCTAACAGACTCGATAAGAATGAGTAGTTATGCTACTATTATTTAACTTAATAGTTATTCTAACAATAGAGAAAATAGCTGCAACGGAGTCAGTTGTTGTTCCTCAGGTCCTGAAACACAATTGCTAAAGGGGCATGGTTTGGATCTCCTGCACAAAAGCAGGAAACCTGTAACTGGAAATGGATTGTACTTGTTAATATCTAAACAGTGCAGTTGCGTTCTCTCTTGAGAAAGAAGACTGAAGGAACAAACAGCAAAACTACAGACCCATTTTTTAGGAAGAATGAAGCTCATCCTAGAGTCCTATTCAGAAGCCTTGCCTACAATCCGACATTGCTCAAGCAAATAGCTTGACAGCACTCCATGCACTCCAGCTGAAACTCCACACAAGTTATTACACACAGCCCTCGAGCACTGAGCCCTTAGACACACAAGTCCACACCTCAAGGGTTGCTGCCGATTCCCCAGAGAGAAGATACAAAGAACTCCATACACACACGCATTTTTATTTTAATAAATAAAGTTTTACAGGCTCAGGCTTCTTTAATCACATATACAGAACAGAAAAATGCCTGACCAAGTAACATGAATTAAACTACTAACCCTGGGAAGGAATGCATGCCCTCTATAACACTGAAGATCTTAACTGAATGGGATTTCCCATCGGTGGTGTAGTAATTTACTTCACAGATTGGAAACTTGAAAGAGATGTGGCCAAAGCAAAGAGAGTGACCATAAAAGGACCACTTGTCCTTCTAAAGCCACAACAGTGCAAGGAAAGCCAAGAGCCCCAACGCCTCCATTTAGTAGTGTTGCTTCTGGATGAATATGTATGTCTTCACATCCTTTAAGCAATACACAAGTAGAGAGACTAAGCACAGCAGGTATACAAAATTATTCCATTGAAGAACAGACATTAGATGACACAGTAAAGTTATATTTCAAGATTTTAAATTAGCAGATGCTTTTGCATCCCCTTCATTATGGCAGTGGAACAGATTCCACCTTCTCTCATAGAGGTTTAGTCCAAAAACTTCCTGTTGGCATTAGCACCAAAGAGAGCCACTCGGATTTCTGGCATCATCTGTCAAGAAAGAATACATCAGTTATATGCAATGGGCAATAAAACTGCTGTACATTCTTCATTGTGGGCACTGCGTAACAGCTAGGCTAGGCTTTGAAATCAAGAAGTTATTTCAAAGCCTTTACCCGATCACACATTGCCTGCTACTCTTATAAATGTAAAGGACTGCCAATATTGCAGCATAAGAGATGCCAGAGTTAGAGTTTTTCCATGAGGGTACAATACATCTCAGCCAAAGTTTCTAGTACTCAAGCTAGCTTCAGTAATTCAAGTTAGCCTCAGCATTTCAACATCTTGACTGCAGTGTAGTCATAACAAGTCTTTCAATATCATAATTTCTAGAATGTTACGCTCATGCTTAATTCAAAAGGCATAATTCTGGGAAACACCATGTTTGTTGTAGAGAAGAAACACAAGTTTCCTTCTTTCCATTAAAAAACAACTTCTTATTTGTCATCCACATTGAAATCTGATCCCACACACTATTGTCACTATTAACAGACTGGAAACACAGGGATTTAATTACAAGACAAAACTAGTGAATTATAACTTGTTCACCTCAGTTGTTAAAAAAAACTCACCTGCTGGGCTACAAGGTCCAGCCGACTTTCCAGGGTATTGGAAACCTTGATTTTACCATCACTGTTATAGATTTCAACACCTCCAGCACTAGAAAAGGGAAAAAAAAAATAAAATATATATATATTCTGTGAAATCCATGGTTCATCTCAAAGTCAGAATGTGGCAGAGATACTATCTCAAATCAGCACTTATAGTAAGTCAGATATATAGGTAAGACTCTTGTTTTCAAAAACAAACTTTTGTTTCTCATAACTTCATAGGAGTCAGCAAAACAATTCAGTGAAGCAGCAGTGCAAAGCATGTTTGGAGTTATTAGAGACCTCAGCTACATAAAATTATTACTGTCTCAATTCAAGTGGAGCTATTACATTTGACACTTCAAAATATCTTCAGACTCTGCATTTTATTATTAATAGATAGCTTTCAGATTTTAGGAAGTGAGTGCTGAAAGTGCTGTTTGCTGTCTCACACAAAGACTGCTGATTACCCAAACATACAGATCTGTGCCATGTTCTTTATCATACTCTACATGAACATAGAGTCTTGCAAACATAACAGACACATATTCCATCAAATGATTATCCTGCAGCACCTTATGATGCAATTTGCTTCATCTTGAGAAAGCATGGCTACATCCATATCCTTCCTCTTCAAAAGATCAATAGTTGGTTAAGTTTCTATATACAGTTATTCTCTGCATCAGTACTCTGAATCATGCTGGATGATGCACAAAATGTTTTCTGACATATTTGATTGAAACAGTATTTGTCTGGAGGAAACTGCAAGGTCTGTGCTTGATTAATACAAAGAAGTTCCAAATTTCACTAGAAGAACAGCATTGTGGGGATATTACGGTTTTCTGAGAATGTTCTAGTAGGAGCTGAGGCTTGAAAAGTTGCTTTAAGTTAGTGCTTTGTATAAAAGACTCCAATTTTCCTCACATTTCCTCTGGCAGGAAGTTGTCTTGGTCAATATGAACATCCACATCCCTTTTTATGGCATTCTTGTAGATGGGAATGCTCTTCTGTACAGCAGTCTGGGATAGAAGAGAAACCTCTAATTAGAACTGACAAATCCTACTGCATGATTTGGGTTTGGTCACTCATTCATTTGCAGTAATAAAATGAAAGGATTGAGGCACCCTTTTTTTTTTTAAGCAAATGTATTTTCAGTATGGCTTTTGAGCCAAACCAATTTACCTTTAGACACGAAACTGTCTAAAGGTAAAATCCAAGCAAGCAAATGATCCCCAACTTGAAAAATCATACTTGTTCTCTTGCATTGTATCTGCAGCAAAAGTGCAGCAATAAAAGCTTGTTTTCATCTCACACAGATAGGATCTGAGAATTAAACATTTGCAGTCAGGTCCTAGCCTTCAAGAGCAGGATACTGTCATACTATTCTAGGTGTCTTACCTTAACCATGGGGAGATCCTGTTTCCTGCACCGAACAACTATTCTGGGCTCAAGCAGCTGGTAGAATCCCTGCAGAAGATAATAATTACAGTATTAAAAAATTAACATTTTAACTATCTTGGAATTACATAACCCTAAGAAAAGGATATGATCAATTTGAAAACCAAAGCCTGGCAATATTAGCCTCTTTTATTTAGTTATTTGCTTGCAAGGTCACCTCATCCAGACATTCTGAAAGAACAGCACCAATATCTGGGGAAATGCCTACAGCTATGATTATGTATTTCTTTGTTAGCTTCAATTTTGGAATGTAGGTGCAATCAGATGTACGTATCATAGAACTGAGTTGTTCAGACAATACACATGTAAACATGAGGGTCACTGCTGTCTAAGTAGACTGAGTATGCTGCCAAGTTAACATTCTCCTGTCCAGTTGGAGGGTACTTGCACCATTCATCTAGTCCAAATGCAAGTAGTGACGAGTACTTATCTCTCACTGGATGAAACTGGGTATTGGTCTCTTCTCCCAAGTAAGAAGTGACGGAACAAGAGGAAATGGCCTCAAGCTGTGCCAGAGGACTTTGGATATTAGGAAGAATTTCACTGAAAGGGTTGTCAAACATTGGAAGAAATTGCCCAGGGAAGTAATTGAGTTACCATCCCTGAAAGTAATTAAGAGATGTGTAGATGTAGTGGTTAGGGACATGGTTCAGTGGTGGAATTGGCAGTGTGCTAGATTAGCAGTTGGACTTGATGATCTTAAAGGTCTTTTAAACCAAACAATTCCATTATTCTATGAAATCTAGTAAGCCAAGACAGACACGGCCAGCTTGCAAGAGTGAGACAGGTTTGTTTGATGTATGGCAATACCAAACCTAAGTGTGACAAAGAAACAAGACTGAGATGGTTTTAAACCAAACAATTCCATGATTCTATGAAATCTAGTAAGCCAAGACAGACACGGCCAGCTTGCAAGAGTGAGACAGGTTTGTTTGATGTATGGCAATACCAAACCTAAGTGTGACAAAGAAACAAGACTGAGATGGAAGCATGAGCTCTAGGAAACTCTGCTAGGAAAACTATTCTATAATTCTATTCTATTCTGTGGACAGGAGAGCTCTTGGCTGCCTTCTGTTAAGGACCAATTCACACCAGAAGGTGGCACCAGTGGCCACACGACTGACTGGCCAACACTTTACTGGATTTTTAGCAGCTTATTTCTGGGGCTAGAGGATGATGTTCTGCAATGCTTTGGTTTCTGCTTTGCATGTCTATCACAGTCACATGCCACACTAGTCGTGACTTAGAAGTCTCAAATGCAGCAAAGATTTTAAAAGCAGGTAACTATTGACTTCTAGGTTTGAAGAAACAGCTTTCACCAAAGGTGCACTCAATACAACCAATTACTGCAGAAGCTAAAAATGTGCAATTCTAAATGTGTGTTACAATGTATGTGCATGCACCTGCAATTATTCTCATTACAGAATTGCTGCTGGGTATAACCCAAATAAGCTCCAGCCTTATCTGTTCAGAATCCAAGATTGAAAGATACAGCAGAAGCAGTTTAAAACTCAAAGATCTTCCAGCAAACTCAATCTAAATTCCACTACAACTGTAACCTCCAGTGGGTTCTGTTTTAAGAAAGATACCAAGGAGGATAGGGCTGCAATCATCTATTTGTTACAATTTTAATACTTACCTGTAGAACTAGTCCATCCAGCAGTGTCTGGTACCTGGCAGTATCCTTCACTACCTTGGCAAGTCTCTGCTTGGCCTCGTTCAGCAAATCCTACATTCAGAAGAAATCAGATCAGCAGAGCCCATCTGTGTGGCATTTGGTTTCATGCCTACCAACTTTCTGTACTCCTATTATAACCATCACACCCTGCCAACACGTAAATGTACACTCCAGCTGGTGTTCATCCAAGCTAGACCTTCATCTCTGTGCATGGCAAAATACCCTTTCCAACAGTTCCCTTCTCTCTACCCTGATCTGAACTCATAATAACTTGAGAGTAACTCCTTTTTCATGAAAAAGGGAGACCTCACTAGTAAAAGGACAGTATTTAAAATGTAAATTCAGAAAAACTTAATATGCTGTAAAACATTGCCTAATGTAAACTAATACAGTTGTCCAAGTAACATTTTTTCCAGCTTTGTGATTGAGCAAAGAAATCTAATCCATCTTTTCATCAAACAGTATTCGGGTTAGCTATTTTTTGATTGTAAGTAAATGCAAGTCAAAATTTAAAAGTGAGATCTTGTTTTAATTTGAAGTAGCTGGTATTGATATTTATTCAGCAAATCAGTATCAGATGGGATTGAATTTTTAATAAATTTGAGTCAACTCAAACACAGCTCCTAGAACTGAACCATCATCATAACTTTAGATGAATAAAATTGTGTGATTTGGTATAAACCTCTATTTACTGACCTGCCTCACAGTGTTTAAAAGAAGACTGCATGTTAACACAACCAGTACTAGGATATAAGATCATCACAATTCAGTATCACAGTCAAACCTAGTTACACCGTCCACCCTAGAGTAACACATATTTCTGGAACTGCTTGTCTCTCATTTATGAAAGAAGCCAAAGATCTGATAAAGGAAGAAACAGCCAGCAGCATGTGACTTTAAATGTTTTAAAATGAGGAAGAGTGTTATGCATTGCTCAGAAGCATGAGGTTGAGTCAGCTGATAAATGAGGAAGAGATTACCCAGCAGAGATTATCACAATAGTTAGCTCTTTTAGCCACCCACCTTCCCCCTCTCTGTGAATACAATCTAAAGCTTGAAACTAGGTTTAAAGAATCAATAAACTGGTGATTTACTTCTGCTAACTTCTCTTTTTCATGGTACCACCAACTAGAACCTTATTCCATTTTTTTTTTTTTACTTCTACAGGTCTCACAGCTTTTCCAATAGCTCAACAGCACCATCTAGCAGAATTGCGGAACACTCAAAGCTGTTTCTGAGATAAGAGATAACAGGAAACCTGCAGGCTGTGTAATGAGCAGATGGGCATACACTACACGTGGTATAAGCCACACATAGTAAGCCTGAGCTAAGACTAAACGTTGTCTACTCTGGTAAATGATCACTCACCCTATATGTCAACAAACAGACTGGTGATGTGCTAGAAAAATAAGCAACCCTTTTTGCAACCTTGGGGCCACTAAAGCAGACACAAAACCTCAGTCAGTGGTGTTTTAAGCTTACTTGCCTAAGCCACGCCAACTTTAGTATATAAAAGTTGCTTCAGGCAAACAGAACTTCAAAGCTCTACCAAGAGTTTCTGTTCTTTAGAGAAATAACCCATTATCCAAATGACAGATACAACTGCTGCCCATGATGTTCCTGGCAGAGAACTGCATCTCCCTACAAGATTAGGTGACAGAAACTGAGAAAATAGGCTACACTAAATCAGTGAAGCTGGACTAAATCCCTAATGGCTTCTCAGGGCGGCTTTGAAAGCCCTTATTGTATGTTGAAGCCAATATCACTCAATCACAAATCGTAATTTTCTTCCAAGAATGGTTAAGAACATTTCCAAATGGATGGTAGTAATAGAACCTCTGTGTCTTTACTATGGAGATACTCACTGCAATAAGGTCATCCCTTGCCTTGAGGACCTTCAGTCTTGCTTGATTCATCAGGTTGGACATTTGACTGCAAGTTGCATGATGAAATTGAATCAATCCACCATATTTTGACAGAAGAACTGCAACATTTAACTGTGTATTTTAAAGATAACAATACTACAACATTTAATAATGAAGCCTGTTCACTGATTTGAATCTGTTTCTGAACTTGCACAAATGTTTACAGTGCAGAACCCATCCTTCAGTGAAGACCCACAAAAACTAAACCTGCCATCACCATTTGTCCCACAGTAACAGATTAGGGTAGAGTTCTGGATTTTAACTGCATGAAGAAATATGAAATATTCTTTTACCACACTTACTAACAGTTATATTATTGTCGCTTACCTTTGACAATTTCTCCCCAGGAAAACTAGAAACTCCTAATTAGAACTAAGTGTATTGGCTACAATTTGCCCATTTGCCAGGTAAAAACAGTTTTCTATAAAATTAGTAATAAAATGAGAGCTCAGGCTCTGAAGTCAGCCACCTAACTTAAGCAACTTACATTTTCTTTTGCTGTTCAATTTGTTTCTCTTTCTTTTCATAATACTCCATGATTTTCAGCCTCTGTGTCTGAACAAGACGACCCTTCTCAATGTTGAATTCTTCTTCTGCCTACAGTAAAAATTAAATAACTGAAGTAGAAACTGATTCCATGGGCTGAAAAAAACAGAATCAAAATGAAACAGCCATGCTTTCAGAGTACACCCCTAGATAAACTAGGATGATACAATTTATGGTTCCAAATACACACAAAAGAAGTATTCAATCAGTTCTCTAGTCAAAGAGTGTACAGGATGTGTTCAGCTGAACTAGAACCTTGCTAAGATACAGCTTATTTTATCAAATGACTGATATATGGTTCCTTGCACTATTTATTCCTAAGGCACAAAATTACCAAATCTATATATTATATACTGTAAAGCAAAACTCCTTTTATGTGAGTTGAAGCTCAATTTGTTTTTGTAGAATCTGGCTCCTTTCTAGCTACAAGAGATTCTACCTAAAACAAGTGACCCAACCTTTGGTGTCCAAAAACTTCATTACTTTAAAGTAATTCTTACACAGGGATGGTGACAGTATAGCTATTATTTTTTTATAAAGCCTAATCAAACAGCATATGAAAACACATGGCAAATTTTACTATTTATACCTAAGAATCCAATCTCAACTTCTGACTTCTGTTTGCAGATCATCAGTAATACTTGCTTTAGTACTGATTAAATATTTGTGCAGATGTAAATGTATCAGGAAGATTAAACAGTAATACATATGCTGAGTCCAATACCAACAAGATATGTAGGTATTGGTATCATGTAGGTTGCTACGATTGTAAGGCACCCCTTAAATGTAATAATCTGTATTCTATCACCAGGTTAATATTAAACTCGGTCTCTTGTGGCTTAATCTAAGTGAAGAACTCTGCAGCTAACTCAACTCATGCCTTCATTATAAATTTATGGTTTTACCTACTAAATCACATCTAGAATTATGTCTGCAGGTGGCTAGGCAGGTTTGGGTACAGTTATGAATCTGCTTACAAACTTTCACTAACATAGTTCAACCATTTCAACTGCTTGTGAAAGATTCCTAGCATTATTGCTTTGATTTACTAATACTGCCTGTGCCTGATACACTACGGAATTCAAGCAAAAATGAAAGTTAAACCTTTTGGTAATAGCTTGTTATGACAAACATTAACAGAATTAACAATTACATAGAGAAATCCCATAACTCCTAGCAATGAAAAGCTGTGTAAAAGAGGTTAGGGAAAGTGTTCCACCTAATGGAGTCTATTCACATTACCACTCAGTTTTGATTGCTCCAACAAAAAAGAGTGAACTTGCACAGGAAAAAACTAGTATTTAAGAACCATTAATAAATTTTTTAGCAAAAAGTAACCCCACCTTATTTTGTTTCCTGAAAAGCTAGCAAATATTAACCTTAACTGTCAGCACTGGTTTTTTGCCATGTAATAACTAAATGTGAAGCTGTAGCTTACAATAGTGTTTTAAGACAGCTCCGACTGCAACTACCAAAACAGGACATCAGATGTAGTTTTTGTTTTGCACTTACTGACACTGAATTTCCATTTTTACCTTTGCATCTATTTCTTCAGCTTTTTCATTGGCTTCCTGCTCAATGAAAGCCATCATATGCTTGATCTGTAACAAGAGAGAGAAGAAAAGATTTTCTATTGGAAAGGAAGGACTTTGATGAGAGGAAATTAAAAAAAATATACATATCCCTCATTTGTACACTAGGCCCCTCCACATTAATTTACTAATTCATACAATAATGTTGTTTTTCAAGGAAATTACTGGAAGATACAGGTCAAAGAGTCAGCTTACCTTAACACAGATTACAATAATTATTTTTTTCCCTAAATAATTCTATATAATGCTGTTTCACTGGCTGTCATTAGAATGAACTTTAAATATGCAACTATACAAAAAAACCCCCAAAAAGTAAATGTGTCTAAATGTGAAGCTGAATATTTTCACTCGTCTCTAGTGAGAACTCTTTTTTTCAGATTATCGAAGTAAAAATAAAAATTCTCCCACAGTAAAATTAACACAGTCTGTTTGTTACGACATTTATACAAAATATTGAAGATTAAAACAAGAGCCCCTGCTCCATGTCAGACATAGATGGCATGTGAATGAACCTGGGCCTTCCACACAGGATGAATGGTGAAGCAAAGGAAAGGGCTACTGACCACTATGGTCAGATCTATACAAACCAAGTTCCTTTACACATCTGAGAAATCTTTTTTGAAAAAAAGGAAGTATGTAAAGACTTAAAAGGTCATTAAAAAAAGACACTATATGGTTCAACTCAGAAGGTCTTTATAAATTAGTTGCATATTAGTTTGGAGGAGCTGGGGAAGGATCAGTTATACCACATGCTGCTTTATACAGCCTGGTATGCACTAACAGATCACACCTGAGGAACCTTCTTGAAACTATCTCAAAACACCATAAAGCACAGGTCCAACAGCTTAAAGACAAGGAAAGCAATTATGCTGAGTTCTGCTTATATCTCATATGTCTTGCTGTGACCAGAGCTAAGTTTAGGTTCACACCTGGGGCAGTCCATAAGGTATGGTGCTTAGGGACATGGGTTACTGGTGGACTTGGCGGTATGCTAGGTTAACAGTTGGACGTGATGATCTTACAGGTCTTTTCCAGCCAGAATGATGCTATGACTCATGTCCAACCAAACCGCAACTTTGAACAAGTATAACCATTTCCAAAAGGGCAGGTGGAGCAGATTTTATACTTCAGTGGCCCATAAAAACCAACTGACTTTTTGCTCATGCTTAGTGACAAGGAATGTTTTGCAGACAATCTGGTCTGAATAAACTTGCACTGAAGATTCTGTTTATATAATCTTACATTAAAATGAAATACTTGAAAGAGATAATACAGATGTCAACATGAGAACTAAGCCAATGTGCAGAACAGAACCAGCACTATTTGCACATAGATGAAAAAAACAGAAGTGAGCAGACAAGTGGAATATTTTAAGCACGTACAGTGGAAGAAATGAATACTAATACCTATATCCTCAAAACAAATCAGCAATTTTTCTTTTACTTCAATTTTGTAACACTTTCAAGTGCATGTCCACCTGTGGTGTCAGTTATCCTGCTTGCCTGATTAGATGGCTTGGGTAAGCCAAACTTTAGATCTACCTGCTTTTCTCAAAGAACAAGAGTAGCAGAGAAAACAAAGAAATAATTTTGCTGAATCACCTATTGTTGAAGGAGACTAAGAAATTCTGCATAACAGTAGAAGCCCTTACACTACTGAGTCACTTCCTCCAGTTTGTTTTGGCTTCTGAATTTTAGAAAAATACTCTAAACAGTTCTGAGTGTTCAAGAAATTTTCTCTGCATGGCAAGTAAAATGGAAGCAAGATGACATGGCATTCATTTCCCCATGTTTGATAAGACAGAACAGCTTTATTTCTTAAAAAATCTGTTGCACTGAAATCCCTTTTCACTTTTCATAAAGATGAAATCTTAAGTGAGACTTTCAATTCTATAAATAGGATGAGATTCAGTAAGACTAACAAAAGTATAATTTTTTAAACAAAAGATTAATTTTAAATTTGTAACTTTAGTGTAGCAGTATTTCCCATAGAAAAGAAGAAAGGGTTTTTCCCATCAGTAGTTGCATGATTATCCTTTCCATAGGAAGTTCTAGATGTTAGACTGGCATGAGCTAGAGCTGACCACCCAGAGTAGATGGAACGATCAGTTAAACACCTTTGACAGAATAAAGCAAGCAAGTCTAGCAACAGGAACAAAAAAAAATCTTAATTAGAGATGATTTTCAAAGTGAAACTACTGAGACCCCCAAGGCAAGCACTGAAGAGTTCAGAGGACCAGCTGACAGGTTCATACTGGATTTACACACATGCAGAGCTGTCATGCCATCAGCAGCATTCTCTTTTCCAGTAAACAGGATCACCCTAGGCTCAGGAGTTTAAAACAATTACAGGAAAGTTGCAGATATGAAATGCTATTAGCATCACATGTTTAGTATATAAACAGATCCTGAACTAACCTCTGAAGCTCAGGTCCATGGTGGCTGAGCAGAGCCACCCCTATGTTTTATTTTTATTATTGCTTTGGAGTTAAATGCAAGAGAATGTAATGTTACAATTCCCCTTTTGGTGAAAGGCAACCTACTAATTTTACTTGCAATGTGATGCTTCTTGGCCAAGAGACTATGTTTACTGAATGAGAAAGTGAGACACGAAGTACTTATGATACAAAGGACAAAGAGAACTTGGCTGATCTGCCCATCACCTGTAGAAAACTTGACAGACCAGTGCTGTCTAGATCCATGCAGTCTTTAACATGGTACATTATTTTCAACCCAGCTCAAAGCAGGTTTTTTAGGCAAGGGCAGTGTTTACTGTCAATAAGGACAAAGTGTCCTGCCTTAGGAGGAAGTGTCCACAGTCAGACTTCAGCGTTGTAAGTTTCCACAGCAAGGGAAGCCCAGGCTGCACTACCCTCTTTAAGATATGGAAAAGGCATTCGAGAGAGCTGAGCAGCCAGCCCAAGTGCTAAGTTACACCTGATCAGATGTACTACAGCTATAAGAAAAAAAGAGATGGTAAGTCCTTAGACAGCAACACCTAAAAAGACAGTACTTATCCAGGGCAACGTCTTTACCTGCCTTAAACTGCACTTAAACACTGCAGATAGCACAAACACTGCTCACGATCCCTTTCATTACGATACGGCATAATATATCAGCAAAATGCTTCAACCAGGTTCTCCAATGGGTGGCAAACCAACCCCACCAGGCAAAGAGCCCCACTTCCTCTGGAGACTCCTCTTTCTCCTTAAGACACCCTGGAAAGACCTGTCCCTTCCACCAACCCTTGCTTTCGCTGGGGAGCGCCGTGGCTGGGGAATAGCGAGGGACCCCATCCCACAACTAAACCGCGATGCAGCCGGAGCCGCTTTTTTTTGCTGTCGCGACAGTCAGAGCCGCCACCGCCCTTCACGCTCCAGCCGGAGCAAACGGCCTCAGGGCTCGGGCACGCCGCAGCGCACGGTCAGCACGGCCGCAGGGCGAGGCAGCAGCCCGCAAGCCGCCCGGGCCCGGGCCTCTGTGCCTCCCTCCTCC